GGCTTAGCGAGGTAAAGGAGTGCGCCAGCCGGGGATCGAACCCCGGATCATGTGCATGGTCGGCGAGCGTCTTAACCGCTATGCCCCCGACGCACAATAACATTTACTAACAAACATTTTATCAGTCAAAATTTCTACTGTTTGATGTTACGTAACCTGAATGCTAATCAAAGTTTGACCCACTTTGATTTCTGGAATGTCTACTTACAAAATCTTACTAGTCTCAAAGTTATTGTTTTTATAGCTCAGTCTAACATTATTACTTCTACTTTAAGTAACATTACTATCTCTCTTTTATCTGTACAGCACACATCCGTTTAGTAGTATTCAGTTAGAAAATCAATAAGCAATTAACCTTACAGATAATCGTAAGACACTTTCATATTTGCAGTTTATTTTATCTTACAGAATAATTTTTTTGCACCAATTGGTAGAAAACTAACATTTTGGAATGCCTAGTTGGACTGTGACATTTAAAATGGTTTGAATATCATAGTAAATGGCAACAATGTTCGGTACTATTCCTTGATTATTTGATTTTGCATATCATTTACAAGTTTACGTGATAAAGTCAATTAATACCATGGAATAATACTACTGAAATACGTGCATAAATAGTAGTGCTAAAATAATGAGAATAAGTTGACAGTTGAACCTTTTTTATAAATAAATGTGACATGTAAATGAACATGTACATTTTTGGCGTTAGATTTAAATCTCGTAAGAGATCTTTCACATATTACACCAATATAATTTTATTGAAAAACAGCAACTGAAATACTGGAAAAATGGGATAATGAAAAAAACACAATAACCCTATGGCGTCTTATTAAATATTGACTGATTTTCAAACTATTGATAAGATACATTGATGCAATTAAACAGGTTTTTACGTGAATACAGTGGATCAGTTTCCATGCCAGCTGATTTATCATCCTGACATCTTCTCACCAGGTTATAAAGTAAGTTATTTGTAAATGAATCTTCACGATAATGATTTTGATCTACCGAAAGATAAAGTATACTGTGAAAGCTATAAGTGCATTGTGCTAATGAGTTCTAACTAGTGGAATTCTTTATTTTTACTACTGTGTTCGAAAAGAAATTAGCGCTAAAGAACTTGTCTAATTATTATTTGTTTTTTTAAAATTTTATTCCTTTACGTTCCCAGTGGAACATAGGGCTTCGACCTACAGTTTTGAATTTTCTGTAGCAATGGCTTTTATTTTTACGGGATTGGGTTGCTAGCTTCGTGCCCAACCTTCTCTCTGTACTAGTCAGTACTGGTTTAGCAAGGTTTTGGAGTGCGTTGGCTAGGGATCGAACCCCGAACCACATGATGCATGGTTGGCGAGCATTCTGCCCATTGTGCCACCAACGCACCAAGAACTTGTCTAGAATGAATGCAAAGTCTCCTTAAATATTAATAAAAACTCCAAACTAAGGAACATAACACACATCTTTTTCAACATTTCAACAAGAACATTTGTTGTTAATTTATCCTGTACATGAAAATGTGATGGAAGTGTATTCAGAGTAAGTTGTTAATGTTGAAGTAATTTCACTGCTGATCAAGCTTGTACCCTCATTGAACTTCTTGTACAGGTAAAGTCTAGAATTTTATTAATTTTTTAAGATAAATTTTTTGATAAGTATTAATGTAATGTAGCGTTGGTAAGCGCAATCAGCAATAAAGCCACTGCATAATATATGCATATATACCACCGCCTTCAACATTTATGATTCCAAAGGAAACTCGTAGTAGGCAGAGCACAAAAGTATTGAAATCGTTGTTATATTATTTCGAACAAAGCGTTATAAGATAGCAATGATTTTAAAATGGTGAGTAACAAAAGCTGGTATATTTTCATCGTTTTTTTCAAAATATTCAATAACTTAATCGTTTTGCTGTTGGTGCTGTACTATCACAATACCTGTAGTCCAAATACCGATGATGAGTGATCAGTCTCTAATCTATGTGACACTTATTCTAAACTGTAATATCAGCTTTTCAATGATAACAAGCTTTCTTACAAATGAATGTTATTAATTATTAACTTATATTTTCATATTCTTATCCCTTTACAGTTTGCTACATTAAAGTATACTTTTGCATAAAAATTGATTAGTTGTTTCTGGATATTGTAGTTGAGTCTAACCGAGTACATCACTGATGATTTGATCCTCAGACGAGCGAAACAGGCATCGTGGTTTTAGAGTACTTTCATGTGACTAATAAGCACTACTGATTGATGTGAATGATATCCGACTAATGATACAAACTAGTGGTTCGTATATCATCAGGACAGATCAAACCACCCTTTGACATTTTGTAGACACCGTTAACCAGATGTCTAACAGTAATATAATATACTGGAACTTAAAAGGATTCCATTAATAAAAGTTGTTTTCAAAAGATAAATAAACAGGAAGCACTTTCATAACATCCACATAACACAAAATTAGTTCTTGTTTCAATAACAGGCATTGGAGATATTTATAAACCACACTCTCATTATTTAAATATGTATCATACTACTAACAATAGTATGTAAACAGAGTTTCATTTCTTCACTTTGCCGATGTAAGGTACATTGATGTAAACATTAGACATTCACAAAAATAGGCAGATTTTAAACTATCTCACACACATCACTGAGAAAACTATGAATGTACAACTTCATTGTTTATTTAAATAAAGCATAAATAAATATTCGTGAAGAGTAGGACGAAGCCACTATTTATTTCGTTGGTTTATCCTAAGTTGCGTGCAACCTAACTAGAACCTATACTGAAGTCAGGTTGGTTCCCACTTATACTCATACTCTGGTGCAATCAAAAGTTGATGGATACTCTTCCTATATTGACTCTAATTGTATATACAAGTTTACATGTATCCGCGTTAGAATTTACACTGCGAAAACAGAAAGATGGACGTATCTTCGATTCTCTGAACATGTACCAGAAATTCTACGTCTCTAGGGATCAAATGTTTTGAAAAGTGATATTGCCAGATATCTCGTTGATATGAAGAACACCGTCAAATCCTTCAGCATTATTAATAGACTTAACTTAACTCCCCTCAAATTAGCCAAGGCAATCGCTATCAAACGTTTAAAACCTGATTTATATGTTCGGAAAGATTCATTTATCAGCTTTTCCTTGCTCTGGAAACTCAGAATCTAGTCTATCCTTCTCATTTGATTACATGATCTTTTGCTTTAACGTAGGTTAGTTTATTTCTTTTTGTTTTCATGATGCAGTAAACTTACCACACTATTACGCAACCACTTAGTTGCTTATCATCAACTTCTTACCTCTTGTACTGATTGTGTAACTCAATTTCCAGTGCATCCGACAGTTCATTTTGTGTTGAGAAAGTTGTTTAAAGTTTGAACTCTTTGCATAAGTTAAACAAATGTAACTTCTGAGTACTCTTTCAAATTTTGCGTCTTTGCTAATCACAAGTCTTGTAAACCTTGCAAGTATGTTGAAATCTGTCTGTACAAATACATAATTAACTTTTGAGTCATGCATAGTTGAATAAAGACCAACGAAATGAGTGACAGCCTCATCTTATTCTTCATAAACATTTGGTTTTGCTTTATTTAAATTTATCAACAGGAATAAGTGTCTGAAATTACTGTTTATATTGTGGAAATGTAAACTGCTTGCTATATACTATCACTCCATGAATAAAAGCGAATAAAAATACGCTAATGAGTTCCATATTATTGTGTCTATTGAATATATCACACAGTGAAACAGTAGTCAAATATTGGATGACTTTCTGAACTCAGTTAATGGTTCATAGTTATGACAGTTGTAACCGTACAACTTCAACGCCAGATTTTTATAGTTTTCATTATTCTTTTCCATTCACGGTAAGGTTAGAATTCCAGGGATACGCAGGGTAAGTTTAGGATTATTTAAATCAATAAATAAAGCCTCTGTTGTTATTCTGCCTCACTCTTTTCACCCTGCTATATTACAGTTTAGAAGCGTCATTTTATTCCATCTTATTGTGATGCTACGTGTAACTTTGCATTCGGTGCTATGGCTGGGATCTTTTCTGAGTTTCTTATACTCGTAGGGTTGATTTTCTCGTACATTTAACTGCTTATTAAAGTTAATACAGTGCTCACGAGCTGACTGCATCATTAGTTATTTGTGTTCAAGAAAGCTTATTCTGAAGATAATGATAGTAATAGTAAACTTGCCTTTTAAGAAATTACAAATGACAAAGTAATAGACTGATATAGAAACCTAAGTAGAAGTGCGTCGATTCATACTTCGAAACACACACACACAGGAAAATGGATAATATATGAAAGTGTAAATCATTCAAGACTGCTGGATAAACGGAAAAAAACAACTTTTACAATTTAAAAGTTAATAAAAATTGGAAGTGCTACTGTAAATTAGTTTGAAACACTTATTTCTTTACCTACCAAGAATCAATAACTTCAGAACTACACGACTTTTTATATGATTGGAAGAACAAGACGCCAGAAAACAGACAGTTGTATATATATGCAAGTTTTTCATAATTTGATCAAAGTCTACCAAATCACTTTTTTCTTCTTTGAGAAAAAATGTATATCAACCACAGTTTAAAAAAAAATTAACTCTGCGTAGCGCATTAAATTACATTGTCTTTCTGCTAATAATAACATATATTGTGTAGAGTGAAATCAATGACTGTGCAAGACAAGTGCTGTTATTCTATACTTCTCTGACAAAATATACAGATTGACACTTGATTTGCATTTTAAGCAAATATATATGTGTGGCGTACACATATTTAAGCAATTAAGAAGTAATCAAAGTGTATGTACTGATATCAAAAATTGTAAAGATATCAGTAACTCATAAATTAACAAAACTCATTTGTTTTTTATAAAGAAAAAAAAGGTGAATGGTGATAGGAATCAACATTGTGATTTGTGTAAACATATTCGGGTGACATACTACTGACAAAAATGAAAAGTAATACAAACCTTAACATCAGCAGATAACGAAGAAATGGATGATCGAGCTGATCCCTATAGAAAAATAATAAAATAGATGTTCTAAACTGGAACGAAAACAGGGAATTCCTAATTCTTTATTTTAAACTAAACTAGTAGTCTACTGAAATGCTTAACTACTGGGCTATTCACTACGTGAGAAAAAAACAACGCGTTTCCACAGAAGACATTATCTCTTAGTTTTAAATGATAATAGGGAATGAAATGAGGTGTTTCCTGTGGTTATTCATTCTATGCATAAGCGCATATATATATATATATGTGAACGTACAGATATAATTATCTGAAAAATATAATCAGGAAAATTAGAATCTCCCCATTGAATAATAGCAATGCATTAAAGTAGTGCAAAATAACAGTAAACGTGATATTTATAAGTGAGCATTTCGCCTGTGGATTTATAATACTAATCAGAACAGTAAAGCAGAAGTGAAAAGTGACTGAAACGTCTTTGAATTATATATATATATATTCTACAGTTTCGTTGACAGATTATTTATGTATACCAGGTGGTAAATAAATATGCTAAAAATTTCCACATTGTTAAATACTCTTGACACGAAATTCCATTGAGATCATGTTAAAAATTTTATTCACTTTATGTTAAATAAACTATGGATTTCAGATGAAATTTGAGAAAATTTTCACAGGGAAAAACGATATTATTTCCACATAGGGCAAAACAGATGCTGGAGAAATTTGTTATTTTTGGCTGACCTAAAACTAGCGGAGGTGCATTTTGAATTTAAAAGTATATAACTGATCAAGAGGTCAAGGTATTTTTTAAGCTACTAATGCAACGGTAGAATTTTCGGAATTCGGTATCTTCATATAGCCAAATTATGTACACCTTATCTTCAACGCATCATTTGCACAGGTTTTTCTTGTTGTGCTACTTTTGGCCTTCATATTGTGTTTCTTTGTGTTCCTTTCACGTCTCCGTGCTATTTGATGTTTTTAGGCCAATGAAGGTCTCTTTATATACTACTGATAAATCTTATTAGTAGCACACGCCACACTAGCAATGAAAATATTTCGTATTATTGTTTTAACATTTTACGAAGTGTCAGATATGAGATGATGGAAAATCTCATTAAAGACCGTCAGTCCAACAGAAAAGAATACAACAAAGATAGAATACAATAGCTCACAATTTCCAATGTTTGTTATGTTTAAGTCCTTTGAAGTTCAATATTTATAGGTATAAAAATTGTATGCTATAATTTACGCTCTGAAGGTGAACTCAGAAATTTCCATGGTACAGACTATAGCGGAATAATTGATCGGAAAACCTTCCTGATCAATGTATTTCCACACTGATGCTTATGTGAATATTTCAACTAAATGTGTAGTTATTTCCTGTCTTCTCCTTGACCCGTGCATGGTCGTTCCAACATGTACATATCTTCTTTCGATTTAATCCTTATTACTAGTCTTTGTTTCTGGTTGATTTCCTATTCTTAATGTTTCACTATTCTATTGGATGACGATGGACTGTTGATGATAACATATTGTTTTACAATCGTGATTTTGAATGAATGAATTCGAGGTTACGTTGAGGGAACATTTTGATCTTGGGCTACCAGCGTGAAGCGTGTTTGGTGTATTTGACTCTTTTCAATATTATGTTGGGAATAATGTATTCCCTAGTACTTCTTACGGATCATTCTTGTCACTTAATTTTGTTGTGTGTTATATATTTTGTATCAGAGAAACTTCTGGACTACATAGCTGCCTAACGGCATTATTGACGTATTTTTGCGTTTTTGACGAGTTATTATTGTTTAATAATATCACACATTTTATGACATTTAACAGTCTTTTCGCTACCGTTAAGATATTTTTGGGATTGTTACAGAAGAATTTCATCGATTAGTTCCCAGTGTTCAGATCAAGACACTTGGGTTTTTGGTAACTACACAGATATCAAATGGGTAAACACTGCCTCACCCAAAAAAGTAGTTAACATTCAACTTAACATTTACTAAAACTGTCATCGAACTGAAAAGCATTAACGAGAACATCGTGTACAGTTGGAAGAAAAATGTCAATAACTTCCAGAATATTTTATCTGAAATAGTAAATATTTAATTCTCTTTCTGTACTCAAAATCATCAGTCCAAAATACAGAAATATTGTAAAATCAAACTACTAATTTAAATATCCTTTCTAGATTCTTAGTTGGAATGAAAATAGTCCACTATATGAATACAAATGCTCGAGAAAGGAGGATCAATTGGTAATTTAATATTGATTTCATTATGTTACTGCCGTTTATCATTTCATTGAATGTATGTGGATGTACGTAGATACATCCATATAGACAGTCAGCATCTTATTTGATAACTCTCTTACAAACATTAAAAATGAAAGACACTGTCTAATGGACAGAAAATTAAAAATTGTGGCTATATTCCAACTAGCTGTTGGCTAATACAGAAACAAAAATTAGTGAATCCTTGCTAACTAAAGTGGTTCCACTGAGTCAGAATTACATCAAATTAAATAATTAATATATCTAAAAGAGATAATGTTAAAACAGTAAGCACTGGACTAAAATCACACGAATAGCGCAAAATATAAGCAGTGTCAGTGGTAAATCCACGTACATAAAATCAGCATATTATCGTGAATGTTTATTTGTGTACTAGAAGAAGGAAAAGTGAGCTCACGATTATAAGCACTGCAACCTGCTTTCACCTAGTATGATGACTTACCAATTTAAAGTTTCTTAAAGCTCTCTTTCCATCGTCATTTTCGTAAGCCTAATTTTACAAAATATTCACGTATAATAATAAATTTCATAAAAGCGTATATATTAAATTGAATATATAAACCTTGAGCTTTAATTTGTCATATGCAGATGTTAGACGTCAAGGGATAAATAGACATTTTAAGAAACATTAAGAAAACCTTAAGATGAATTCTGCGAACCTGCAGAGTATCAAATTACCACCTAACCCAATTGATAAGCATTCTCCATTTCAGCTAATAAAAAATTAAATAATGACAGAAAGCTAAAAAAGAAACGATTTTGAAATGGAAAGCTATACGATTAATAGTTTTTAAGTAACACTGAAAAACACCAATTTAATATAATTAACTAGTTAGCTTGTTTTCTAGCCAGTCCCAAGCCCGGGTAAAGAGGGAGGGTTGGACGTCTGGCTAGCAACCCTACACCACAAAAGCTATTAAACCGCTACAGAAACTTCAACACACAGAAAATATATTAAAAATATGAAAAAATTCAAATGACAGTCTTATTCTTCGCTGGAATCGGAGAGGCGAAATGACATAGATGTCTGGGGAAGGCCTTCGGGAAGTCAGTCAGCCGATATGTCTTCTCTCGATGAAAACAAGAATAAGAATGGGGACATAAAAAACTCGTACAATGTACGAGGCTAGGAAGGCTGCCTAAGTAGCCAAGATATGGTATAGAAGTTCTAGGTGTCTGTGAGAGCAGATGGAATGGATGTGGACTGTCAAAATTGTCAACTGGAGAGTCAGTAATCTACTCCGACCTGGTCATCCAGACGACAACCACGAACACACTGAGGCAGTGAGTGGCTATCATGACATCGCCAGTGGCAGTCAAAGCCCTAATGCAGTGGGAACCAATCTCTCCCTGCAGGATCATGGCAGCAAGATTCAACTCAAAAGTAAGGAAGGTCACAATTAGCATGCGATGCTACGCATAATGCTACAAACAACGCGGGACAAGAAAAGAAAGTGGAAATTTACAGACAACTGCAAACAGTAATGGACAACATCCCAAATGGTGACATCAAAATCCTTATGAGCGAAATGAATGCCAGCCGAACAGGAAGAAGACAATACAGGAAGATAACTCACCATGGGTCAAGAGGCTGTCGCTCGGAGAAATGAATGAGAACGGAGAATAATTCGCAGACTTCTTTGCTTTCAACGATTTGGTGGTTGAAGGGAGCGTGTATAAACACAAGGATATACACAAAGAAACATGGATTTCGTCTGACGGACATACCACAAATTAAATGGATTTCATATCAATATTGCTCAGGGAAGTGGAAACTCAGCTTTCTGTATACAAATTCAAGAAGGGGAGCAGATGTGGATTTAGACCATCAACTAGTTCAAGGAACCTTCAAGGTGAAGCTGAAATCCATGAAAACAAATGGAGACAGACCACAATTCAAGTTCAACATTCAGAATTTGAAGGACGGAACTGCAAGAGATACTTTCACTACAGATCACATCAGAGAAAAGTCGGAGACACTACGAGGCATCACTCAGGAAACCTGCGTAGAAGGACATTGGATTTCTCTAAGGGCGATATTCAAGGAGACGTATACATCCGTTCTAGAAAGAAAGAAGAAACAAGTCAAGGAATGGCTCTCAATGGACACCTACCTTGAAGCTAATTAGAAGAGAGGAGAATGCTGGAAGAGAAGACGACGCAATGCAAAGATGGACGAGAGAAGGAGAAGCTGAGTTCAATGTACACTGCACTGAATAAGGAGGTGAAAAAGAGTGCTAGGAAAGACGAAAGACAATTCTACGACACACCGACAACTGAGGCAGAACAGGCATGCCACAAGCAGGTAAAAGAGACCTCAGAACATCATATCAGATAACCAGATCTCTATCTGGGAAGAGATCAACCCAGACGGTGAAACTAATAAATGATGATCAGGGGAACCTGATTACCAAGGAGAAGAAACAAATAAAACAATGGGCTGATCACTATAAAGGACTCTTGAATCAACCATCACCTACAAGTCGTTCAGAAATACCACCACTGAAAGCACGCATAGAACTGCTTGCCAGTGGACACCACCTCCAACGAAAGCAGAAATCTAGAATGCGATCAAGCTGCTGCAGTCCATGAAAGCAGAAAAACCAGAGGGAATTTCCCCCAAAGCAATGATAACGAATCCAGAGGCTGCCGCAGATGTGTTCACGCCATTAATGCAAAAGGTTTGGAAAAAAGGAAACTTACCTTCCAGATTGGAAGAAAGGCTGGCTACCTCGTCAAGCCGCCAAAGAAGGGCGACTTAAGCCTCACTCTGCAAGAACTGGCGTGGAATAATTTTCTTCTCCACGCCAAGCAAATACTGAGTCACGCCATCCTGGTGAGAAGAAAGGATGCACTGGATACAGAACTCCGCCATACCAACCAGTACAAGCTGGATTCAGGAAAGGCAAATCATGTGCAGATCAAATTGCAACTCTACGCATTGTACAGAGTAGCAGTCAAACATGTACCTGAACTTCATCGACTTCGAGAAGGCCTTAGACAGACAGCGCTGACCGAAAAGTAATTTGGAAACTATTTCAACACTACGGCGTGCAGTTCCCAAGTCTTCATCAACCTAATTCAACAGTTGGCCATACGACAATGCCACGTGTCAGGTGATCCACAACGAAAAATCAGTGAGGCGTTCGAAGTGCATACAGGAATAAGACAAGGCCGTTCACTACTATTACAGATGATATTCTTAATTGTGGTGGACTGGATTATACGTCAGACTGTGAGTTGGGAGCAAGGAGACAGGAATACGCTGGACCACTGATAAGAAGACTCTAGAAGATCTGGATTTCGCGTGTGGATGATTTATGTTTAATATTACACAGACTCGGAGATGTGCAGGCGAAAACCAACAAACTGGCTGAATTGGCTGGCAGCTAGGACAGGACTCCATGTGAATGTATAGATGACGGAGGTGATGGAGATAACCGCTCACCACTAGCGACAAAAACCAACACCAATCACCATAAACGGGAGAGATTTAACAGAAGTTACCTCCTTCACTCATCTAGGAAGTATCATTTCAACTACAGGCAGTCAGAATGGATGAAGATGTCAAAGCCAGCCAGCCAGAATCGGAAAGGCAAGATACGCCTTCATCAACTTGAAACCAGTTTGGAAGTCTTCTGCACTCAGACAGAATGAAGAACAAGATTCAGATTTTCAACACCAATGTCAAATCGACCTTTCTTTATCGTTCAGAAACTTGCACTGCCGACAGCCCAGAAAGAATTAGCAACAAGAAACTCTGGCTGAGAACAAACCAACCAAGAGCCGATCACTCAACAAATATGTAGGAGAAAATGGAGATGGATCGGGCATGCGTTGAGGAGGCCATCATATGACATCACGTACCAAGACCTCGAGTAGAATCCAAATGGGAAGCGATGAGTGGGTCGTCAGTGCGAGGGTCACATGGAGGAGATCGTGCGAGAAGGATATGAGAGATTATCGTCAATCGTGGACGGAGCTGAAGATTGGAGATGTGTTGTTGAAGCCTTATGTTCCACTCGGGACCCAAGAGAATAATAATTACTTAATATGATTTCGAAATCGACTAAGTACACACCATTTAAAAAGTTTTTGACTATAGTGAGTTTTGCATTTGTGTTGTAGTATATTCACTCATTTTCATATATGTCAAGGTATATGATACCACCTTCCATAACTTGTCACTGAAAGGTATAGAATAAAAGGTACTGAAAAGTAAGTTAGGCCACCTAAATGCGAATTTATTGTATAATGGGTCCTACTAAACACGACTGACAAACTGAAGGCATGGGACTAACTGATATATCTCTCTTTTCTGAATGCCTTTAAAACACCCTTTTATTATTAATTATAATTAATTATTACTTATTTTATTCCTTTGTGTTCCCAGCGGAATATAGGGCTTGAAGATTGAGCTTTGAGGTTTCGGGAGCAGTGACTCTTTTCTTCATTTTATGAGATGGAGTTGTTAGCTTCACACCCAACCTGACCCCTTTACTGGGCTCACTATCAGTACAATGAGTGAGTGCGTCGGCCTGGGATCGAACTTCACACCATATGCTTAGTTGGAGACAACTTTACTGCTGAACCATCGACTCACTTTGTTATAAAATAGTAAAATAATCGGAAAATACCCAAACAGAAGAGCTTAGATCTTTTGTTAAAAAGCTTAGGAGACAAACATGTGGGGTATATCATCTTTTTTCAACCAACTACTATACACATATAAAGAGCCATTTTGACAAAAGCCATCCAGATGAAAAAATCATAGATACAGGATAAAAATAGATGGATACTGGTGACTGATATCTTAATTAAGAGAAAAAAAGCCTACTACAATGAATGTCGAACTGCTTTTTCCATTTTCACTCTTAACTTTAAAAATAAAACCCTGGAAAAAACTCTTCTTTTTAAGAATAAAAAGAAATTCTTGAATATCTTAACTGAAAACAATTTAAATGACATCTACATATCAAAAAATTAATTATTGGTTTGAAGAAAAATCTTTATTTATAAGTGAGAAATTAAAACTGAAAGATTTCAGGCAGTAAGAGAATAAGAAATGTATGGAGAATTTTTGAATTGGTAATGAAAGCTATTTTCTCTACTTTTAGAGTACTGCGCGACATGCGATTAAAGATGAATAAAAACATTCAAGTGCGTTGATGGTCCAATGATAGGATGCTTGCCGACCACGTATATGACCATGATTCAATTCCTGGCCGACGCACTCCTTAACCTCTTTAAGCCGATATTAAACCCGGTAAATGGAGATAGATGGGCTTTAGATTAACAACCATACCCTGTGAGAAAAACACATCACTACTGCCAAAACTCCAAAGCTTAAGCTTGAAGCCCTATATTCCACTAGGAACTCAAAGGAATGAAAGAAACACATCTAAAAATTAATCAGGCAAAGTCCTTCAAAGGATGAGCATTACTGAGACCTATTCAAGTGTTTATAAATGAATACTATTAAAGCATTAATTTTTACAGATTATTTCTCTCAGTAGAAGACGAAGATTATTAGTGGTTAGTAAAAACAAAAAGCACATTCCCAATTAATTAAGATCCACAGAAGCGTTTTAAATCATTTATGTTATATTAAAGTTATAAAGAAAAGCTCAATTTACCAGTAAAATAAAATAAATATTGAAATGAAAGAATAATAATTACTTTTGTTTGAAACGTAGTAAATTTCTACATTGATAATATAAATCTGATGATAAGGTGAACTGTTTAGAAAGATGTCTATGTTCAGTCTTCTCTATATGTGACCAATAGATTTCCATCCAACTAACTGTAGTGTGTAACTATAGAAATAATAAATGACATTTACTACTTTCTGTGCATCGATGGCATAGCGGTAAGGATGCTTGCTGACCATGCACATGGTCCGGGTTTCGATCCCCGGCCGGCGCACTCCTTTACCTCGCTAAGCCAGAACTAAAGCTGGTGAAGAGGAAAGGTTGGACCTGAGGCTATCAACGTCATCCTGTAAAAATAAACCCTGCTACAGAAACTTCAGGCCTCTAGCCTGAAGTCCTACGTTCCACTCGGGAACGTGAAGGAATAAAAAAAACTATTTTTCAGCCCTAGTATTTGTTACATTCCCCGCTTTACTGTAATACTAGTTCGAAGTTCTGAAACTATGTTTGGAATTTTTATTATCCAATGACACCTGGCTTGGTGACCACATTTCAGACTTGATTGATGGGATTCACCCAGCACTAAGGACTAGAAAACATAACATTGGTTCGTCTCGAGTATCTAATTAATTTATTCACTGCAGTTCTACAAAACATCAACCCCTACGAGGATAGCTCATTAGTAATGTCCCTGAGTGCAACACTGGGTGATGCGGGTGAGAACACCAGTGGTAACATCTGTTCCTTAGATGATGCAAATAACGCGTGCTGACTAAAGCCAGGAAAACTAGATAAATGGTCTCCTGTTGACTGCCTTCAACTGTCCAACACAATTATTTTGCCCCACATAGTAACTACTATACCTAGTGCAGTCAAATTAGTTGCTATGATCATGTGCTGAGAAAGATAGCCTTCCTTTCCTCCATAAGCTTACTTTTTAATCAAAAATTATATAATTATTCAATCATAATACACTCATAAGGACTTATAGAATGAAACTAAATGATAGCATTACATTACAGCGCTTTTTTTATCAAGACAAAAATCTATCATCAGGATCTAAGATTAAATTCTCTTAACAAAGACACAAATTCTTACATCACAATTTTCATCATACACATATATTTGCATAATAAAAACTGTGATTAAGGCATGTATTATCTTTTCATAGGAAACTGTAAACAACTTACAGGATTAACACCCTCAGGTAGGTATCCTAAAAATATAACAGTGAACGATTAGTTAAGCAATAAAATTTTCACTAAAATGTGTGCACAATATGCAAATCATATATATATAAGTATTTATCCGTACACTAATATTCAATAATCCCATTTGTTCTGAATGAGAGACAAGAAGAGTGCTGACCATATGGGTAGGCACTTTTATAAGGTGATTGTACAACTAAAAAATAGTTGAACACATTACAGTCTTCTACTGTGTCGAATAATGGTTTACAAATGTTTGAAAGAAGTCGATTTACACTTTGCTATTAATAATGTCCTTAGTTCACTGAAAATAAATACTAAAGAAAATCTTTGAAATGATAAATTCAAATTTCCAACAATCTATCTCTAACTCGGTGATTTACACCAAGTTTAAATGTCGCCTCTTAAACATACTTTTAAAAATTAACAGAGAGTAAGTGAACTCCACATGTGTCCGCAACATCCAGTGCCAATCACCATCAACGGGAGGGATTTGAAAGAGGTTACTTCATTCACTTATCTAGGGAGCATTGTCTCAACTACAGGAGGAACGCACGAGGATGTCAAATCGAGAGTCGGGAAGGCGAGAAACACATTCATCAACCTGAAACCAATCTGGAAATCTTCGTCACTCAGCATCAACAACAAAGTGATTCGGATTTTCAATGCAAACGTCAAGTCAGTCAGTTCTTCTATACGGATGAGAAACTTGGCGGGTCACAAAGAATATTTCCAACAGCCTGTTGCAGACCTTTATCAACAACTGTCTTCGCTCTATACTGAAGATCAGATGGCCGGAAAGAATCACCAACAAGAAACTATGGGAACAAACAAAACGAGAACCGATAGCCCAACAAATATGCAGGAGAAAGTGGAGATGGATTGGATACTCGCTGAGGAGGCCGCTGGGTGACATCGTGCGTCAGTCCCTCGAGTGAAAGCCGAAAGGGAAACGGCGAGTGGGACGTCCAAGAGTGACATGGAGGAGATCGTGTGAAGAAGAGTTGAAACAGTATGGACTAACATGGATGCAATTGAAAAATACAGCAGAAGACAGAAGTAACAGGGAGACGAGTAGTTGAAGCCCTATGTTCCACTAGGAACCCAAGGGATTAATAATAATAATACATAATAAAGTTCTACTTATCAGCTGAATTTAAGTGCATAGTCAGTACTGTATATACCAATACCTAGTATGATTGGTTGAAAACTACTCATGTCAGCATGTAGTGTTTACAAACTATATTGAGTTGATCTAAACACTATACAACCGTTTCTATCGTTCGAGGCCTATTACATCAGTCGTCTACCAAGATTGAGTGAGGTCAGAAAACGGAATCATCTGAACCCACTTGACTTCTAACTAGCTAGATGAGTAATGCATAGAATAAATTATACATTCTGAAATAAAAATTTACCACAGTTTTCTTCTGGAATACAAAATATCCTGATGACACTAGCAAGTCGTACTCGCTGATGTGAGTAATTCCTAATTATTAACATTAATCAGGAGTATATGGAGTCTTGCAGCTTCACCTATTTTCTTGATTGATTCCTATTATATCATATATTGTTGATCTACATATTTCAGGTTTCTGAAGAAAACGATACACTCATAGAAAAAAATCGTCTACACTAAAGATTTTTTGTATTGATGGAAAGCTAAACATCACCACTTGAAATATGCTCACAATTAAGTAAAGAATGGTAAATCCAGGCCAATGACTCAGTCACAAAGAAAGGAACAAATAAATATTCAAACATATCCAAGATCAAAAGAAATCCCCAGTAAATGCATAGTTGATAAAAGTATCGAATTCAGTATCTTATGCAACAGCAGTGAAGACACCATTTCTAATGACGTTGAGAATTGTGTTTAATGGAATTTGGATTCAGGAAACCATAAAGTTACTGAAGCATTCACAGTATGAGTTATAGATGTTTCGTATCATAGTATTGCATTTCTGTAATAGTGCAATCCTGCAAACATGAAATTTTTGACAAATCAGCCAACCTTTATATATATGAACAACTGTTTGAAATGAAAAACTCTACCCTAATCTACCAAATATATTCCCACTACACAAAGAATAGCAAAACAAAGTGAATAGGTGCTTGTAAAATTAATCTTCCTTATGTGATCAGAAAAGTAACACTGACTGGTAAGTGTGATGATAGTTTATGCAGCAAGTACCTGGAAATCTAACATTTAATGACATATAAACACACATCCATTATCAACAAACACAAGTTGGGGAGAAGGAGAAAAAATTTACACGAAATGACCAATTTTATCATTAGACACATAACACAGAACTTTAAGGCAAGTGGTAATGAATCTTTGAAACTGTCGATCATCCTACAAGAAATTAACATCTTAGAAACAATGGTGACTTAGACAGAGCAAATGCAGATTACACAGGATCTTTTCCTACACTACCAATTTCTGGATGAACAACGAACATGCTGTTTAATAAATGGCAACTGGGCTAAGAATCAACGCACTCAGTCATGTTATAGACCAGCTTTCTGTAGACAAAAATCAAATAGCTTATCGTATCCCGCTTCCCGCGATGAACAAAAGCAAACAACTAGGGATGTAACGTAATGTCGAATAAATTAATACAAGTCTTCCTAGCCGCACAGTGTTTGTAAATCAATCTATTAACAACTACCACAATGTAGTATCTCAACAGTTCTATCTAAAGTTAATCAAGGACAGAGTTAGTGGCTTGTATATCACTTGAACTAGGAAGATTGATTCCAGAAAGGGTAGAATTTTCACACACAAAAAATGATTAAAATATCTGCAGAACAGAAAAGTGTTATGCAGTACACTGCTGTTGATAAACTTGAGTAAAGCAGTGAGAATAGCTTTAACAGCTTTTGTAGAAAATAGTTCACATTTTTGTCATCCTAAAGTCATTTCACGCCAAAATCAAGGCATGCTTTAATATGCTGTCTGTTAAAAAAATATCCACAATAGACAAAATGTGATAGGTATCGCTCCAATGGAAATCAACTTTCCACCGCATGTATTTCAAATGTCAGTATAAATAGACTAGATATTAGGTATCAACAATAAAATACTTATTTTGTGCATCGGTGGCGCAGTAGTATAATGCTCGCCGACCACGCATATGGTCCGGGGTTTCATCACCGACCGACGCCCTCCCAAACCTCGTTAGGCCAGTAATAGGACTGGTAAAAAGGGAAGGTTGTGCATGAGGCTAGCAACCCCATCCCATAAAAGTAAACACCACTGCTACCGAAACTTCAAGTCTCTAGTTTGAAGCCCTATGTTCCACTGGGAACGTCCAGGAATAAAAACAAAACAAAAACCAATCTTTAAATTTTAGATATAAGCGCCTTTTAGGCCCTATAAGTTTTTAAACTGTAAATGAATGTATTTAATTGGTGGATGGTGACTAGCAGTGGAATCCAGGATGCGCATCTCGTCCTATTTGGGACTTGTCAGCTGGATGCACCTGCATTTCTCAGTGAGTGATGATGTTCCCACCGAGGCTCGAACCCAGTGACCATGGTTTCAAACGCCAAAGCGTTATCCACTAGACCACTTGGGCCACGAAATGCGCATCCTGGATTCCACTGCTAGTCACCATCCACAAATTAAATACTAATTAAATGCCCAGACATCGTCGAAGCATCTGCTCAAGAAGCCGACATGTCAAGCTGAGACCGAGCACTTGGGTCCAATCAATCGACGGGAAAATCCAAAAATTCAATTAAATGTAAATGAATGTATCGTTACCTGCCCAATATTGTTCAAATTCAGCTTCATCAGAAATATGACCTTTAACATCTGGATGCCAACGTTCAGCAAATAAAATAGCCCGAAGTACATCATACTGATCATTGCCTTGAATACAATCTTGAGAAAGTGCAAACTTTGCAACTTCATCAAGAGCTTGACCAAGTGTAAGTGCATCACTGTGTATAATTTTCAAGTCTGTTGTAAAAGAATAACACAATAGAAATTTATCCTAAATATATTAAAATACACCTGTAGTAAAATAAATAAAAACAAAGAGGTAGTAAAAAATAATTAGTGGATGAAAACAAAGTCCAAGTAATAGTGTATACCTAGACTTGCTCAAGAGAATATACCCGCTGATATTGATTAAACCTACCTGAGTACAAGTAAGTAATTTAATGTCAGCTAATCTACTAACAAACAGAATTTGACCGATAAGGTGTGATGTAATAAATTATGACTCATGTTAGGGGGTTTAAATTTCTTTTTAATGATAATTTTGAAAATACGGAAATCAGTCAAGTCAAAAACAAAAAAAATTGTAAAATTAGCACTACACTTTTAAAGTATGGTTCAGTCATTTAATGGAAATATGTTGTGTAACAGAACCGCAAAACTGACTTCAATAATTTTCTTATACATACTTTCAATATACTTCTTTGTTATATGTGAAGGACAGACTGTGAAGTGCATCATCTCTTTCACTATATGTGCACAAGAAATGGGATCAGTAAGCATTAATTAATAGTGAAACCAAAAGAACATGAAAGAGAAATGATCAGTTTCTGCAGAGATTATTCCAATTTCCTAGTGCTTTTTAATTCATATGGATGAAAACTATGTTAAGTGTCAGCTACAACCTTTCATTTAAATGGTTCGGCTTTCAATACCTTCAGGATTATTATGATTAGTATGTATTCACAATACTTAGTTCATAAATCATACCATTCTTATCATTAACCTTTAGTCATATTTTTGTTCTCCTGTCCACAAGGCTAGAGCAAACTGAAAAGCCTTATTATGTCATGAAGGCTCCTTGAAAGGGTCTCTCAATATTACCAAGATTAATAACTAGAAGTTACATGTTTGGTGGTGGCTAGTAGTAGAATAAACGATGAACGTTCCATTCTATTTGAAATTCATCAGTCTGGTTTACCTCGTCCCCTGTAAGAGATAGTGTTCTCACTGAAATTCTAACCTAACGCACATTACTTCAAACACCTCAAAGCATTATTCGCTTGGCCGTTTGGCCATGGATTCTAATTCAATAAAATGTGATGAACAAAACACTCTAGTGTGTCATCAACCCAAAGATAAAGGTTCGTGCGTGAAATGTTACACTTTCTTGTCCCTTTAGAAATATCTTTTACAGGTTTCTACTTACTGTGCACTTTGAAGTGCGATATTATTGACAGTATATTTTATTTTGTCTAAAACGAAGTAAGGTTAAAATAATACAAGATGGCAGTGCATGAGACCAAAGTTAATTAGTCTGAGCTACATACGGTGGCGTGCTTTGCATGACCTCATCTCTTTATTCAGAGAAAAGGCATATTCTAATTTGATTATTGTGACCAAGATTTCTGACGAATTACTTTAGAATTCAAAGAGAATAAATTCTCCAATAGATTATCAAGCTAATTGAAAATTCAAAAAGGAAGATAACATCTATGCAAGGTCTAAACACCATCAAAACAACCAAACACTTTGTACTTAAGGAAAAGAGCCTCTTGTAAATATATATATGTAAAAGCACAGTCAAATGACTTCAATTTCTCATAAAACAACATTAATGGTGATTGTCAAAGTGATACTACATCGTTTGTCGATTAAAAGAATGACGCAGTGAAAACGCCCGCAAAATTTGTTGACTGTAGGCAGACAGATGTTGTCAGCAGGTTATGTAACACTTCTGATAAGTAATCCAAGATGTCACATCAAGTAGAGTAAAAGAAAACAGAAACATAGATGTTACCATGTAATGGTAGGTACACAAACATTACGCAACAGTTTTAAACGTTGTCAATAAATAACAAACACTCTTTCATTATGTGTTATACCAAATTACTTTATTTATTTATTTTTTTATTACAGCTTGATTCCACACCGTATCTTTTGGTACAGGTATGGAATTTTCAGCATGTGATATCGGTAGCCCAAATTTTGCAGGCCGACCATTGATATCAGGTATGCGTCGGCATAGGATCGAACCCCAGACCATGTGCATGGTCGGCGAGCGCCCTAACCGCTGTGCTACTGACGCTGCTGTAAAATCCTAATCCACTACAGTTAGCATACAGTATCAACTGCCCTTTAATATTAGAAAATATTGCATTTTATTCCTATAAAGCACTATATATCCCTAAATAATATTCTTTTTTTATTTTCTTGAAGGCATACTTGCTTGTACTGTATTCACCCTTATCAGCGTAAGAACATCTATATATTTTCCTTTTACAAGTTCATTCGTATTTACTAGTTAATATGTGTCTGTGTAAATATGTGAGGTCAATATCTTAAAGCACAGTTATACAGAAAATGTAGATACAGTATCAAAATGATTCACGGATATAAATAAAAGTCAGTAAGTATTATGATTAGCATACTAATAAGTAGTCATAATTACTACATAACAAACTGTCTACGATATAACATCATAGGCAATATAAAAATATATAAGAATGTGTCTACATTAGAATATGTACAAAATATCGACTGAATAAATGGAAGGGAAACAAACATCTGTATCATTCTAATATTCTTTATTTCTGTAAAGTTGTTTTTATATATAAAACAAAAGAAAGTAAAAAGTATAATACATTATTCAGTAATTTACAAACAATACACTGACTACTAAATAAACGATAAATTTCTTCTTGAACAGATATCATGTTACACTACCATTGAAAACTAAGAAGCATTGAAGAAAAGCCATTTCATGCCACTTAGGGATTATTCGACAGTGCACAACCATGGCTACATCAGAGATTTAGGTTATGGGGTCAGATCACCAATCTTTCAACCGCTAAGATGGAATCCAATCTAACTTCTGCAATTTTGTGAAACATTTAGCACCACGGCCAATCATTGTCCCTCGTGGATTTTTACCCGTACATCTGACTTAGTAGACACTACTGGTCACGACTTCTCACTAGAACTGCAGACAAAATCATGCTGTATTCACTAATAAGCATTAGATTAATTTTGAATGGGCCAAAGTTAAAATTTATAATAATAATCTACTTTATTCCAAAAACAGTACTTATAAAACAGAATGGAATTCTCAGCATTTTTCACAATATTGCGACTGATTTATTCAAAATATAAATTAAAATAAATTAACCAGAGAAATTTATTCACATTTAATTGAATTTTAGATTTTCCCGTCTCAGGTTGACATTTCGGCTTCTTGCGCAGATGCTCCGATGATGTCTGGGCATTTAATTAGAATTTAATTTGTGGATGGTGACTAGCAGTGGAGTCCAGGATGCGCATTTCGTCCTATTTGGGACTTATCATCTGGATGTACCATCCACAAATTAAATTCTAATTAAATGCCCAGACATCGTCCAAGCATCTGCACAAGAAGCCGATAAGTCAACCTGAGACCAAGCACTTCGTTCCAATCAATCGACGGGAAAATCTAAAATTAAATTAAATTAGTATGCCCCGTTGCAAAAGAGGTGGCTCTCGTGGCCCAAGCGGTCTAGTGGATAACGCTTCGGCATTTGAAACTATGGTCACTGGGTTCGAACCTCGGTGGGAATATCATCACTCACTAAGAAATGCAAGTACATCCAGATGACGAGTTCAAAATAGGACGAAAGGCGCATACTGGATTCCACTGCTAGTCACCATCCACAAATTATTCACATTTACTCTATAAAGCCAAAAATATTTGAAGTACATAATGAGAATAATAAATATAATAATAACAGTGGGTTTGTTTCAAACAGTATTGTTGATTCAGTCTGGAAAATTTAGCATGTTATAGATTATTGGATATAATGTACTGTTGATATAGCATGGTGAGGGGAAAGACAAAAAATAACAGTTATTACACAGCTTAAATGATGTTTACACTTATGAGAAAATAAAAGAAATTGAGAGGGTTATAAATATAAGAAGAACAATAAGAACAAAGCTTGGTGGAATAAGGATGGAGAGAAAGGTTTATTTATTAGTGCAAATAAGGTTAGTTAGTTCGTCCCTGACACTACTGGATTATTGGATTCTGTCCCACCGACAGAGCAGTCAACAGGCTTGTCTCGTAATCTGAGGGTCTTGGCTTTATACTTTGGAGAGTTCATAGATGCGTTCTGTTGAAGAGTTCTAGACTAAAACAGATATCCATTTCTCATAGCTTTTCAATGGTTACTTAACTGATGTCAGTTCATGATTTAATTGTAAAAACCTAAGTTTTAAAAGTACTTTTTGGGCATTATATTAAAATGAATTCTAAATAATATTCACACTAAGATGTGAACGGTCGGAAAAAAAATTATCCTAGTGTATGTGAAATTATCACTCAAAAATGTGGTGAAAATTTAATGAAAATTTTGATTTTAATGAAATTTTCACATCCATTTTCTTGGTGTAAATATATGTGTGTGTAAAATTTAATATTTAAAAAATGTAGATTATAAAAAAAAAGAATTTTTAATTAATCAACTTTCCATTAAACATGTATCAATATGAACAAAGTTCAATAATTTATATCTACATATTCTTAGTTGTTATATGAAAAAATTATACTCCTATCCACTATGTCACGCTATTTTGCATAGAATAATGATAATAATTATACAACAACTATCTATAAGAGAAAAAAGAAACTTTATGCAACAATAAATTCTGTAGTTCTGTATAAGAAATCAAAAAAACAATGAGAGATTAAGAAATTAATTTCCATTATACATTTTGATTACTCAACAATAGAATGACAACATGTTCAAAGTATGCAAATTCTACAAGTGACATATACATATATAAGTGCACAAAAGTGATATGCATGAATGAATTTTGGTTCTACTTGTATGACATTTAAATTACACTACCTTTTTAGTCTTTTAAAGAACAACTTATACACCATTTTGAGCGATTAGTTTTGTATCTTCTTTTTTGTATAGAACATTTTATTAAGGACAATTCAGTGTTATCAACTGGTCAGTTTAAGTATAACTAAGTGCAATAAG